TGCTTTGTTTTGTTTTGTGTTTTTCTCTTTTTCCTCTTAAATAAAAAAAAAAAACAAAGTAGCTGTTCATATCATCACATCGAATACAATCAATTCTCATAACCTGATTAGAAGTTCTAGGCATCTATAAGAATCTACGTGTACATGTGTCCCTTCTGTATTTGAAGGAAAAACAAAACAATAAAAAACAAATCAAATTACTATGAAAACAAGAAACAAAAAAGACAAATAAATAACAATAGCAAAGAGACTGAAACAATGACAATATAGGCCTTTAAATCAAGGTGGTAGGAATGTAACTAAGGTTGTTATTTTACATAGTGATCTTCAAAGAGTTCTTCAGATAACCAGGCCCAACCATGCAAAATTATTTCAATCCTATGAATGTTAAATGTTTTGTTCTATGAACTTACAGAATTTGTAGCCCAATCATCTTAGCTCTCTTAACTGTGTTTATAAAATTTACATGAAGTAAATTTAAAAGTACTTTCAGACTTAAGAGAGGGGCTAAACAGGGATTGTTAAAGATGGACCCAAGTGAGATCATTGCTGAGTCAACACCACAAAGGGCCTTGAGTTGTTAGTAATCATCCTAAAGGAACCTCTTCTGAGAAGAGATTTCAGGAGAGTCAGCACTGAGATGTATTGGTAGCTGGGAGAGAATCTTATTGACAGGAAACCAATTTTATGTTAAGCTGTGCCCTGGAATACAGATACATTTCAGGAGAAAGCAAGCTAAATGATCTGTAGGTATTTAAAAAACACATAGAAAGCTTAGATTGAGAAATAAAAATGAATAGGCGATGCTGAAGGTCCTATGAAGTTTAAGTTGACCCTGTGACATTTCTCTAACAGTTATCTGTTGAAAGCACACAAAATGAAACAAAAATAAATCAATAAATATATACATAACAGAAGAAATCTTGACATTTCAAAAAATCTGTGAAAACAAAACAGATGTTAGAAATCTATCAAATTTTGTTTTTCTCATTATTTGAGAGTTTTAATACTTTACATTTTAGATCCATATTAAAATTCTTTAATAAGCCAAATGAATTTTCAACATTCATAATTTGATTTGTGTTAATATTCCACCAACGAAGTACATATTAAAATAAGTCACTAAAATATAGCAAATCAAGTGAAATTCAGTGGGCTTACCACTTTTCTCTTTTCTAGAAAATAAAATATTACATAAATATTTTTCTTCTAAAATGATTAGCAAAACACTCAAGTGAAATTATAAGGCATAAGATTAGTCCCAGTAGTCTTTATTTATTGAATATTGAAAATAATGTAGTGATTAAAATTATGAGAACCTTCTTTGCAATAATTAATGGATTGTTTATTAGACAATAAAGCCTAAAATGTGTAATATTTATCTAACTAGAATTATAGGGTTGAATGATACTTACTTGATGACCATGATGTGTGTGTAATTTTTTTAAAAAATTTGAATCAGTACCTACAATGAAGTTGTGAGCCAGATATCACGCTATTGTGATTCAGTAATAGAATTAAAAGTAGTAACATTACAAATGACTTTGTGTTTCCAACTAGTAATTACAGTTTTGCCAAACAACTATAGAAATTCTTATCCTGTACCATACACATTTTCATATATCATGACCAAAATGAATGCCTTCAGATTACAAATTTATTGAGGGAAAATTTTATGTTCTTGTATATTCACATGTGCTAGAAATAAATATTTAATATCTAGCATATAAACCATCTAAAAATAGTGTTAGAAATTTATATCAGGATTTTCTTGTTCAAATAAAATGCACATTTCACAATTAAAATTAATAATACTTATATGATTGTTAAGATTTATCAAGTGACTGGGATATTTTAGCAAATCAGGAATCTTGTTCTTATGTACCTTATGCTTTAAATAAGGCCTGGGAAAATTCCAGTGAGAAGACATTTATGCATTTCATCCTATGTGCTATTGATCCTAGTTTAATTATCTTTGTTGTTTCTGATGCTTTCTGAGTGAAAGTGATCACCTGTGATAAATTAATACCACTTAGGCTTTCCTCATTTCTATGGAGCAAGATTTGCCCAATTAATCCTTTAGCACTGCTGTTTTTGCTGCCTGGAGCCAGCCAACCAGGAAAAATGTGAAAGAAAAAAAAGCATTACTTTTCTACTCAAAGTGAGGGGATGGGAAAAGAGTTAGGGCACAAATGGCCTGTGGAAGGAACCATGCATAAAGATAGGTTACACAAAATACTCTTTGCACGGGTGTAACAGCTGTCCTCTCTGAGCGATGTATCACTGAGGAGATGGTTAAATAGGGATTAGAAGAGGACACCAAGTTCCTATGAATCTGTTGAAAAGTCCTTACTACTATTGTACTCTGAAGAACAGCAAAAAGCTAAGAACATTATGTAACTGGATTAACTTCATGTTCCTCTACCCTATACCAATCATCTTTGCCTGGCAATTAGCACATATTCAATTAATACATACTTAATATATACAGGATTCAATTATGTCAGTGTTGGTGTCTAGCATGCACTAGCATTATTCATATGCAGAGACAAAATGTGAATAAAATAAAGGAATAACAGTCATGCAATTTTCTAAGCCTCAGGTTATATCCAGATTTACAGCTGATATAGAATTAATAAAATCAAAGAAGACCAGGGATTTAGCTCAGTGGTGTAAACCCTTGCCTGGCAAGTGTGAGGTCATGAGTTTTATTCCTAGTACAAAACAAAAAAGATAAGTCATAGATATTGCAGACCATATAACCTATGCCAGTATTTTAAATTTCTAGATATTTTAAAGTAAGAACACTTAATTAGCATAGTGTTCATTAATTAAGGGATGTGATAGCTCTTTTCAGATGTAGAAAGGACTCCAAATTGAATGAAAAATTAAAACAAGAGTGATTAAAATGAGATAGGATTGTCTTTCAGAATAAAAATAAATTTCCTCCAAACTCGAGTTTCACTTTTCTTTTTGAGTGTAGTAGACTAGATAACTTACAAGTACTTTGAAAGTCTTCAAATATTTAAAATATTTAATTACACATAGCTGCTAAGTACTTCAGTAGTATATTAAAAATTCTTGTACAAACTATAATAGTGAGCAAAAGTGTACAATAATTGCATGTAATATTATCAGATGCTATCTATTGCTGATATCAAGTATCACAATAACAAAAATGTATTTAGTCAAACACAATAGTTTGCTGAGATATCATTTCTGAATGCCATGTTCGGTACTGATATATTCTATAGATGTGCGAATAGTATTACCAGCATTGTATGGTTGATTCCAAGTGATTATTTTATGTCTACTAGTAGAGAGTACATTTCTGATAATGCCATTATTAGATAAATTTATTCTTTGTTACTTTGAGCTATAAAATAACAGGATTTATCTATTCTAAGAATCATCTATAATCTCTTCGTAGAGGAAAAGTCAGTACTTCCAGTCTTCTCCAATTATTGAAGAATACACCAAATAAATCTAGTTACTTTATGGTTACTGAGACCATGGCCTAAGGCTTCTCAGATTTTTATTCATTTACTTATTGCGATACTGGGTTGTGGGTCCAGGATGCTCAAGATGAGTTAGACACATAGGTCCTTCTTTTCTTTTTTTAATTTCTCTTGCCTTCACTCTTTGCAACTTTTATTGTGAATGAACAAAAGCAATGAAGATATCCACAAAACTTATAAAAAAGATTGAAAGGGTTATGGAAATGGCTCCTTACACATTTTCTGTATATGTTTTAAAGACATATCTTTTTGCCAGCTGATGTTTTTGTTTCTTTTTTGTGTGTGTGTGAGATAATTTTCCAGGTATAAAATGACATTATCCTCAATAATACTGACTTAATTTATTTAAAAAGAAAAATTTAATAACAGAATTAGAGAATAACAGAAGTGCACGGTGTATTATCTTTGGATTAGTTACTCAAAGTACAAGACAAAGAAAAATATAAATTCTGTCCTCTACAAAAGAAACAAATAATAGCACAAACATTGGCTTTCAATGAACTGAGAAACTAGTAATATTAAAACAAATTAGTATAGATATTAAAATATTTTTGATACAGTAGAAGAGGTAATTTGGGGACTATTTTGAACTGCTCCTCTGACCTGACAGAAACCAAACAGATCATTTAATTATTTTCTAATTTGCCAGTCAGTTCACCAGGATGTTTGTAAGTCACATGCACTCTGAAGACCTACTGTTTAAAGGTTGCTTTCACAGAGAAACAAAGATGAAAATACACATTTACTTGCTTACAGTGCCACACTGAAATAAATTTGAGTAATCAGTCAGAAATTTTCCAGCCTCAGAAAATTCCAAGCCGAAGTGAAAGTCTGACACTATTTTGGACATTAGTTGTATTTAATATGCTTGCTTACATGAAGCAATGTTTTTATTTTTCTTGCTAATTTCTATATTTGCTTAGGATATAAAACATAAAATACTTAGTAATAGAAAATTCAATTAGAATGTAGCTATGTCTTAATTTAAGAATATCTTGTTTGGAGGAATAAAAGTATTTTAAAATATAAACTACTTTTAACGTATCTATATCTGTTTGACAATATGAAATTTAGCCTCTCAAAACAGTTCCTCTCAAAAAAATTAATGTTAAAACTATTGAGTGCTTCATATTGGGCCCACCTATGTATTTAGGCAAGCAAAACTGAACACTAGTTATATAAAGTGAGAATGCTATGTACAGTGCTAGCTGCTACCAAGTCAGTCACGATTTATAGCTGATTAACTTATAGGTTGAACATTTTTTCAAGCCATAAGTTGACCATATTTATAATTTTATTTCCTTGCAATGGCTGAACCATATTTATTAATTTCAAATCTTCTGTATTGTCTTCAGTCATAGGTAAAATTATTTATTAATGTATTTAAAATACATAATAAACTACATTTATCTTGAGAAATTGGTTCCTTTACAATAATTTTCTAAGCTGCCTAGACTGAGCCCAGACTTGCATTGCTCCTACCTCAGCCTCCCAGAGTGTTGGCAATTAGTCCTGTGTCACCGTGGCCAGGTAGCATTTAATGCCATTTTATATATGGATGACTCTCAAATTGCAATCCTTTCCTGAAAATAAAACCGTCTTTAATTAATTTTTACTTCAAAAGGTATAGTTACCTTATTTTTAGAGAATGTCTTGTTTTTTCATATAGAACAATCTACACTTAGGCATCTACAAAAATCTACATTTACTCAAATACAGCCATGTCAATCCTTCTGCAATATTACTATAATTCTGCAAAACTTGCATTCTGACCTGAATTTCTTGTAAATCCACTTCCTGGGGAATCACTGAGCCCAATCTTTCATGTCCAGAAATATATCTCTCTTTAAATGGGTATTTATTTATTTATTTATTTATTTGTGTCAGGGGGTGAACTCACGACCTTGCGCTTGCAGGGCAGGACACTTACGCTTCTGAACTAAACCCCCAGCCCTAAACAGGCACTTCTTGTCCATGCAGTCTGCTCCTAGTACATTAACAGCTCAGTGGTCAGATTTCATCTAATGGATTCTTCATGAGTCATGACCTCTTTTGGGCTGGTTTCATGAAATTTCCATTCAATCGTGTTAATTGAAGATGTATGAGACATGTGTGGAAACAAAAATGTTGATAGGATGACTGTCCACACAAAGGTGATGAAAACTTGCAGGTGGCAAAAACCATAAAATGTTTGTTTTACACAAGTGGATTAAGTTTGCTATTACAACACACAATGTACTGAATCAAGAGGATTTGTAGCAGACACAGCTATGTGTCTGAGCCTCATCAAGTGTGTTGTGGCTATTTACAGATACATAGTTACAATTCATATTTTCCTTTAAGTATTAATGTAAATGATATTTTTCTTTATAGCTAGTATGAAATTTATAATTCAATATGTGGTGTATTGCGTTTTGCAGCAGTTGTACTATATGTGCCCATCTGGTTGATACTCTTAACCAGGATTTATTTTTGGTGCAGGAGTTACAAACATTTTGCAAAATGATGCTGGGCTTATTTTCCAGTTAACTCTTATTTTTAGGGAACTAAGGTATAGCTTTGGCTTTCTCTATCTACTAACTGTCAGATGTAGATATCTAACAGCTGGAGACATCTCAGCTAGCATGTGGAAAATGAAACTCCTGCTTTGTTTTTCCAAATATTCTGCTCACCAGTCTACCTCATTTTCTTAAAGGCTAATTGACCTTTTTAGTTTTCGAGCCATAAGTTCTGTAATTACCATTGCACCCATCTTGCCCAGAAACTTCTATTCAATTTTTTAAGCTAACTATATCTTTATTTTCAGAATATATTCAAGGCAATTGAGTACATTAAAGCAATTACTATCATCACCATGGTCCATTCCTTGCTTTTTGTCCAGTTTATTGTAGTAATCTACAATTTTAAAAGTGCATCTTTTTAAAAGTACATCTTTTAATGTACTCTCAGAATACTGTCCATTTGAAATACAAATGTGAACATATCATTTTTTGCTGAAAACCCTCCTTCCACCCTCCTGAATCTGTCTCTGGTGAGCATCTATTCTCTGCCTGTCTTTACAGTTGATCTTCATTCCCTTCATTGTCTGTACCCCGGTTACAGTGGTTTTCTTGGCAACGTTTAAAATCTCTAATCATTTTTTTTCTTAAAATGATTTTGCTCTTTTCTTCAACTTTACTATTCTATTATATTCTTTTGAGTTTTGACTTCATTGCTACATCATTGAAGATCCCTTTCCTCAACATTGTACTTAAAATATCAATCCCTACACACTCGTTATGCTTCTAATTTGATTTAGATTTGTATAATATTCTACTAAAGTGTCACATAGCATATTACATTCAGCTTTTTTTACCATTTCCATTAAGAATATAAACTCTAACAGCCAAACTGCATTTTACTCATTATCGTATCAAGTGCCAAAGCATGCTTCAGAAACACAATGAGTTTTGAATAATGAATCAGGGATAATTATTTTTCAAAAGCAATTACCCATGAGGAGGAAGAAAAGCAGCCACTGATCAATTTGTTTCTATTAGTATATTTTAATTTTTACTATTTATATGATAAAATGTATCTTTTAATAATCATTCTCGTTGTTTTGATAGTACTTACAAAAATGCCACAATCATCTTTGATACATAAATTGAACAAGTTTTGACCTTTTCCTGACCTAAATCTTTTAATCAGTCATTTCCAATATTAGAATCTATCACATCAGATATTTTACGTAGATATATTAACATTGTTTGTATTTTTAACATTCTGTTTGTATATTTTAAGTGATGTATTTCCTGAAATATATTAACATTGTTTGCATATTTATTCTTGTGTTCATTGTTTGCATATTTATTCATTATATTTTGTGTAAAGTCAACGTGAGTGAAGCAAGAGTCTATGTATTAATTTTAATGAAGGGAAATATGAACATGGTTTCCTAACCATATAGATTTGTCCTTAAACATAAAGACTGCTTTATGTTTAAAAGAAATGCAAGTGGACTTTAAAGAATCAGAGCATGGAGCAAGCAGGGAAGGATCCCAGGTTCGAGGCACCACGGCCTGTGGTGAGTGCTCAGCGCACTCTGCCCAAAACCCAGACTGTTCAGGACCCTCCAGGCTTCCGGGTGCAGCGAAATGGAGAAGTGGGTTTGAGGCCTCTACTTCCACCTCCCCATCCCGGCTGCACTTGGAGAACTGCTGAGCTTCCAACGGGTAGGCAGGCCCACACTATCCGAGGAGCCCAGCCTGTTTGGGACTCCTGCACCTAGACATTGGTGTGCAGAGGAGGGGCTGGGCAGATCTGGGGCGCCTGCATCAGCCTCCCCATGTGTCTGGAGGACTGTGGATATCTCAGCAAGCAGGGAAGGATCACAGGTTCCAGAGGCACTGCGGCCTGTGGTGAGTGCTCAGCACACTCTGCCCAAAGCTGACACAGTTCAGGTCCCTCCAGGCTTCCGGGTGCAGTGAAGTGGAGAGGTGGGTTTGAGGTGTCTACATCTGCCTCCACATCCTGGCTACGATTAGAGAGCTGTGGAGCTTCCAGTGGGTAGGTGGGCACACAATGTCCCTGAGGCCTAGCTTATCTGGAAATCCAGCTTATCTGGAACTGCAGAGTTCTGAACAGGCAGAGGATGGCCATTGGTTCTGCAGGCCCAGTGGCTTGGGGTAACGTGGTACCAGAGTCTCAGTAGCTGCAAACATAGAAGGGGATTTCCAACAGATCCTGAGGAAGCTTTCAAATAAGACTTGAAACACAGAAATATAGGAAAATGACAAAACGAAAGACCAAATTACAACCTCAAACCTCCAGCCCATCTCAAGAAACCCTAGGAGCAATGTATATAGAAGAAAATATATGCCATTCACCTCAAATATCGGACACAATTGCTACTGAAAATGACAAACAACTCCAGGAAGCTTTAAAGAAATTCAAACTCGAAATAATATCCCAGGTAAAAGAAGAAATGATAAAAGAAATGAAAGAGATTCTGAATATATCTAAAGAAAACACACATAAAAAATTGGAGGAACTAAACAAAAAGATAGAATCCCTAAACAAATAATATAAGAAACAAACAGAATAGAAAATGTAGATGCACAGAGATATACAGGAAATAAAAAACTCCACTAAAAGTTGTAAAAACCGCCTTAATGAAAGTGAAGATAAAATTTCAGACCTTGAAGACAGGATTGCAGCTAGTAAACAGGAAAGGAAAGATCTTTTAGAAATAACAAGGAATCAGGAAACAACTCAACAACTGCAAGATGATGCAAAGAAAAATAACATAAGAATGATAGGGATTAATGAAAAAGAAGGAGACAACATAAAGGATGTCAAGAGGATATTTAGAGAAGTAATAGCTGAAAATTTCCCAAGCATGAGATCAGAAACCAACATCAGGGTCAGTGAAGCATATAGAACTCCAAATAGTCATAACCAAAATAAAACTACACCCAGACATATAATAATCACCATCCCAGAAATCCAACACAAGAATAGATAATTAAAAGCTGTCAGAGAGAAAAGACACATCACTTATAAAGGAAAACCTATCAGAATCACAGCAGATTTCTCAGCACAAACAATAAAGTCAAGAAGACCATGGAGTGAAGTATTCCAGATCCTAAAGCAAAAGGATTTCCAACCTAGACTGATGTATCCTGCAAAACTATCATTCAAAATTGATGGTGAAATACGATACTTCCATGACATAGAACAGCTGAAGAATTTCATGAACACCAAACCAACCTTGCAAAAAATATTGAGTCATATTTCCTTTGTGTATCTAGACAGTCTAGATACACAAAGGAAAAAACCACTAAGGAAAGCAGATAATTAAACAGAACAGAAAGATAAAGATGCAACAGCAGAGAGGTAACATGTCAACAATAAACCAGAATTTAACAGTAATAACCATTAATGTAATTGGCCTCAATGCACCAATCAAAAGAAACAGACTAGCAGAATGGATCAAAAAACAAAATCCAACCATATGCTGTTTACAGGAAACCCATCTAACCCAGAAGGATACTCAGAATGAAAGTGAAAGGACGGAAAACAATACTTCATGCAGCAGGAATCCAAAAAACGGCAGGAGGAGCCATTCTGTTTGCAGACAACGTGAACTGTAAACCAACAATCACCATAAAGGACAAAGAAGGTCACTACATACTCGTAAGGGGAAAACTCCAAGAGGAAGAGGTAACTATCTTAAATATATATGCACCAAACTCCAGAGCACCCAGTTATATAAAACAACTATTAACAAAATTAAAACACAAATTATCAGAAACACAATTGTAACAGGAGACCTTAATAAGCCATTGACACCAAGGGACAGATGAACCAGACAGAAAATGAGCGAAGAAATAACAGAACTGAATCACACCTGCGAACAAATGGATTTGATAGACATATACAGAATGTTCCACCCAACATTAGAATACACATTCTTCTCAGCAGTACATGGATCATTCTCTAAAACAGACCATATATTAGCTCACAGAACATATTTAAACAAATGCAAAAGAGTTGAAATCATCCCTTGCATGTAATTGGATCATAGCCCTCTGAAATTAGA